CACACACACACACACACACACGCGCGCACACACACACTCCCGCCTTATCCCGCCTGCTCGCTTCCTGGCACTCCCTCCCGATCACTCCCGGCCGCTCTCTCCCGATCGCTCCCGATCGCTCCCGCCCACTCGCTCCCTCCCCCGTTTGGGCCCGCCCGTGCGAAGTCATGCACAACTGTGTGTCGGCCCGGTTTTTTTTTTTTTTTTTTTCCAATTTGAGCCATTTCTCGATTTATGCGTGTCATCCTTGCGCAGGGGTCCACATGGATACAGGGTACTAATCTTTTTTGGGGCCCCATTTTCGGACGTTTGTACCCTGTATGTATCCGTAGCATAACGCTCATGTGTTATAAACGAATACAACGCACTCCGTGTGTTCTATTCGTAATTAACGAAGGTGCATTTTGTTCGGGGGAAGATTGTAGCCTTGGATAAGCTAGGACAGTCAGGACTTGTCCATGGGTGCTAGCCTTCCTAGACTTGGTGCCTATACCTGCTATTCGGTCCAAGTCACCCTCCGAGACGGTAGGATGATAGTCCTGAGTGATTCACACTGAGGGGGAATGGGGGATGCACTAGGACCATTGATGAGAGGATGGGTTGGGACGTAGCCTCACAAAGGTAATGATTGTTAGGTTAACCAATGGCTGACTCATACTGCAACCATCGTATGTCCGGAATCCGGCCTCTACAACAACTTGGGTTTTGTATGAAAAAAAAACATAAGGGCAAACGGCCAGGATGGTTTGTGTAGAGTTTCACAGAGGCTTTCCCTTTAAGTCTGTGGATTGGGTGTGGTAGGAGAGTCCATTTCTGGCTTTGCTCTTGAAGTTGCAACAGCACTGATATTAGAGGTGAGGTGTTTACAGACTGTTGGAGTATGATGATCATGAGGGCAGGTGTGTGGAGACTTTGGGAGTTGTGTGTGAAATTGTGCGTGTGCAGTTGCACGACCACCCAAGTGAGTGTGTATACACCAATTTTAGAAAGAAAATTAGTTGCGTAGGATTTGCGAAGACGAGGGGTTGGACGTGTATCTCATCCTTGTTGGTCTTCTGTAGCTCACCAATGTTGTCTGCTCCCTACTCGCTCTCCTCTCTCTGTCCCTCCCCCTCTCTGTTTCCTCTTTGTCTTTCTCTTCCTCCATCCCTCTCTCTCGTTGCATGTTGAAAATGGGGCAGTTGCAAGTATGAAGAGTGTTTTGATGCCGGCAATCACCACGGTGTTGCAATGATTTTTCAAATACTGCCCTGTAGTCGAAAGTAGCATTGCCACTGGGATTTCCATCTCACAGTGGAGCTGGACTCATGATAGGGGACCGCCCACCCAGGCGCAGCAGGTTCTCCAGAGGGAATGGTTGTGAGAGGCCTGCTCCTCCCAAGGTGGGAATCAAGGACTTTGCATCAGTACTAATAATGGGTGTTTAACAGCATTAGAAACATTCCTATGATTTCTATAGATTCACTGCTCAGTGCTAGATACATTTTCTGACTGATTGGAATCCTGTCCTGCTGACGTATGCAGGAGCGAAAGTCCATTGGCGCAGAGGTGAATTGGGGAGTGCGCTTCACGAAAGAAGAAGATGTGAGATCCAAATTCTTTTGCAGACTGCAAATCCTTTGCTACAGAACAACGCTCCGCGCCCTGCCCCCCCCCCCCCAACCACACGCAGACACTCAAAAAAAGGGCCACTGAAAAGTCTGAAATACACATAACCAAAGTAACTCCATGGCGTATGTACTATGTAGTTTTTGAATTATTGTTCTAATCAATCATTGGAACCAGCAGCTGAGCATCTTCATAATGCTCTTCCTACTACCGTCCTCACCTGAATAGAACGCCCGTCCCCCGGTCATTATAGCTGTATTTGGGGCAACTTTCAGACCAGATACAGCGATAATTATCGGGTGGCGGGCGTTCTATTCAGGTGAAGACGGTAGTTCCTGTATGCCTCAAAACTCCCTCCCATCCATTGCCATCCCATGCAAACGAAGCATCATGTCCAGTATGTGTGTAGAGGAAAACGGAAAAAAACGGAGTGCCTCCCAGATAGAAGCATTCTTTTTTCCCATTTTTTGTTTTCCATTCTAGAGGAAGGGAAAAAACAACCTAGTACCTACAACAAAGTTTATATCTCCTTTCTGCATCCTTGCGAGTCTCACTCGTGACTATCAAGTGTCAAGTTTTCCGGTCGGAAGCTTTGCAAAGAAAGCATCACTCGCAATCTTCTTCAGGATGTTAGGCGGGTCCAAACATGCCAAATGATTCATGGCATTTGACTACTTTCTTCGTCGTTGCAATCGCACTCATGAGTCATGACTCATTAATCCCAGATCAAACGGAAGCTAAAGTTGAAACGCCATTTGAACGTTTGTTAGTGTTTGGCAGGTCTGACAGAGGAACCCTTGCTGGGTCAATTGTGAGTGGTGAGGCGACTGTTTTGCACGCAAAGCAATTGTCTGGTTGTTGACAAGGATCAGATTAGAGCTTTATTTTTGCACAGGGAGAAATTGAAGAACTCTGTGCCTTGCAGAGCAGAGTGTGTCCTGGATCAGCCATCGTGTGACAGAACTTGGTGACGCCCGACTGGCCAGGAAAGCAAAGGATCTGCAGCGCTAACCTGTGAGACAAATAGCGGATGGATAGATAGAGGGGGCAGTGGCAGAGAGAGAGGGAGGGAAAGAGGAAGTAAGCTAGCAGATTGGATGAAGGCAGGCAGGGAGAATGGAAGGGGAGGAAACGGGCCACTGGGAGAGAGGTAGCGAAAGAGGGAGGAAAAAAAAGTGAGCAAGCAGATGAGGCAGGCAGGGAGAACGGGAAAGGGAGGGAGGCAGGTAGGGGGGGAAAGAGGACGGAAGAGAAGGAGGGGATGAAGGGAGGGAAGGAAAAGGAGGAGGAGGAGGAGGGAGGGAGGGAGGGAGGAAGATCTATAGTCTATTATTCTTGTATCCTGGGTGTTTGTCAGCTGCAACGAGAGGGTCCACGTTTTCTGTAACAGGTGATGAGGGAAATGTGGGGTGCTCTCTGACTTTTCCTCCTACCGTCTAAATAAGGCAAGCAGGGGGGGACAGAAGAGAGTGAGGAAGGATTGGAGCGAGCGCAGGAGACAGGGAGGGAGCATTGAGGATATGCTGATCATTCTTGTGTTCTCTATTTGTGGTTTTGGGAGTATGAAGAGGAGGGATTGGCATTTCTGATACAGTTGAGGTGATGGTGAAGTTGCAGGGTGCTTCCCAACTTTCCTTCACACTGCTAGCATCTCCTAATGCTCTGCTGTTGTATATGTAATATGTATCTTGATGCTGTGTTGTTGTCAGGCCCATACTTTCTTATCTAACCTGGCAGAGGAAGTGTGTGGACGCTTATCGAGTGCACAGCTGAAGGGCCGCACATTTACATTGAAGGTGAGTATGTTTTTGTCTTCAATCATGTGAAAACACTTCGCAGCTAGAACTGAGAAGACATTTCAGAATAAGCAGACAATGTTGTCAGACATACCCACATCAAAATCAAAGAAAAGGAAAACTTTGAACAATTCATTTCAGAACTGCAGCTGGCTTCGTTTTGTTTTTTTTTGGAAGATGAGGCATGGCACTGTGGTGTACCAACTGAGGTAGGGTGAATTAGTGCTAAAGACCCACACAGCAACCACCAACGGGCCTAGCTCAGTTGGTACACCCCCCCTGAACTGTTGAAATAAAGACTCGAGTTTGAATCCAGTCCAGATACCTTCTGAATCGCCTGGTGCGGTCAGTTCAATGATGATATTGAAAGGTTGTCGCCCTTTTAAAAAGAAAGAAAGAGAAAGAAAAAAGACACACATCGCGTAATCACACGACATGAAGGGCACATTGAAACGAATCCGAGCGCAGGTGGCGCTTCCGAAAAAAACATCGTTAACAAGCGCATGTCAATCTGGCAGTGTGGTGGCACTAGCATCCACACTACTTCTCAATGTGGAACCAGAATAGTGTGCCCCAACCTCACAGCTCGCATGTTAGCTTCCCACTCTCTACCAGCTGCCATGGTCTGGCTGATGGCTATGCTTGGTGTTCGACCAAATTGTTCATGTGTCTGGCTGATGGCTGTTCTTGATGCTCAACCAGATTTTTCATGAGATGCTTCCTTTCTGTTATGTCTTTTGTACTCCTACTTGCTGTTTACACTGGTTGCCAGTGGTTGGGTTTATTAAACTTCATTTCTATTGGATGTCCACACGGCGCACACACCTTCCCTTCTTCAGCTCCTGTGACCCTCGCAGTACTCACTTCCGAGTTTGGTGTCCGATGTTCAACCGCACATCAACGGAATCGTGATGGCCTTAAGCCCTTTTCACAATCAAAATTACAGAGCCAG